ATTCACAATGGATACTGCCTCCCATGTTGGGCAGTTATTTTATTTATTCATTAGAATTGGAAATTAGATTATTTTTAGTTAAGAATAATCAATCAATTATCTTAAAGTTTACGTTTAATTATTATAGTTACAACTCCTAGTAATAAGAAGATGGACAAGACAACAATTACAATTTTCTTGAACTACTGTTTCAAGTCAAAATCTTTACATGTTTACTTTAATTACGGTTACAATTCCTAATAATAAAGAGATAGACAAGGCAACAGTTACAATCTCTTGAAGTACTATTTCAAGCCAAAGCCTTCATGTTTTCACTTGCCGTTTCAACCAAAAGCATATGTTTTTAATTCCAAATGCCTCAAGTTTCAATCACATTGGCACTCAAGGTAGAGAAAAAATCAACGAAGGAAAAGAAGTTTACCAATGAAGATGATCTGAATGTGGAAATCTTTCTTTTTTCACTTTTTCATCGTGAGGTTTCTATAATTATATCTTCCAATTTTTGCAGTATAATTGTTCTTTCGCATGCACTTCTAATTTCCCATTACTTGTAATTTTTGCTTTTATTTCGTGTTATAGTAACTAAAACAATTGCTTTGGAAAGTATAAATGTTAGTTTTGTTCCATTCGCTAAACTACTTTGGAGACTACTAAATGAACACACACAAAAATTAAACTGTAACTTGGTTAATGATTGGTTGCTTAATCCAAAATCTTAAGATTTTACATTTGTATTTAGGACAAGGAGTGGTTTGTATAGCAGGTCGTGGTTAGAAAAGAATTTGGAGCAAAAAACAAGTAAAATTAATGATTTGCGCTGGTAAGAATCTTTATAAATTTTGTACATTTTTTTTATGATTTTCATTTCTCTAATCCCTTTTTTTCCCCTGCTTATCTTCTTCTTTTGTTTGGTCATGGTTATAAGAAGGAGATTGAGTATCCAAATATAGAATTGTAAATAATATTTTGTCATTGAAGAATTCTATCATTTTTATGTCCTTTTTTTGTTGGTGTTCCTTCTCTTTTTACTTTCTTCTTTTCTGTTGTCCTCTATTTCTTCTTCTTTATTCCAATTTTATACTCATGAAATATTTTTGAAAGGTAAATTAAATTTTATAGTATTTACAGTTATGCCTATAAATGGTTAAGTTTTAACTTAATAATATGCCAGATGATTATTGAGCAGTTGTGGTAGTTTTTTTTTTTATTTAATAGTTAAGTTTTCTAAGAATTTTGTTATATAGGTTCTTAAAAATCTTCTTTCTAAATTTTCTATGGAATGATGGCGTTTGTTTTCCATGGGAGGGAAGAAAGCTGATGGAAGGCTTGAAAACTATATGTTTTCTTTGTAGATTACTTGCCCATCTAACCAAGATATTTTATTTTGTGTTTATAGGTTTTAAATATCGGTTTCAGCATAAATAAATATTTGATGTACGTTTTTTTTTTTTTTTGCTTGATTAGCTTATGATTTCTTGAAAGAAAGCTGATGGAAGGCTTGAAAACTATATGTTTTCTTTGTTGATTAACTTGCCCATCTAAGCAAGATATTTTATTTTGTGTTTATAGGTTTTAAATATCGGTTTCAACATAAATAAATATTTTATGTACGTTTATTTTTCTTTGCTTGATTAGCTTATGATTTCTTGATTTTCCTTGAACTATATTCATGTATGGAATATTTTCTACTGATTCTGAGAGTCCTTTATTTTGACACCTTTTTTTGTTAGTCATGATTTATCTGATACCAACAAAATGTGTTTCTGCATTCCTTCACAATACTGGTTAGTTGAGTGATTCCTTAGTATAAAGAAAGAATAACGAATTAAAGAAAACTAAGAAAAATATTTTTTACCATATATACGAGTACGTCACAATATAAATGTTAAATCACAATCTAAAAAGGTACAATAATTTATTTTGTAAAATGTTCAATATAGACGCTTTAAGTTTAACTAAACATGGGGTATATTGGTTACTCAATAAATTCTTTTTTTTTTTTTTTGTAGATTATGAATCTATAATTTTACTTTTCTCTTTAAATTCATATTCAAGAGAATTTTCGTGCATTATAAAATACTTTTAAACCTTAGGACAAAGTTAGTAAAATTTTTAATATAACGTTGAAGTAGAATAACAAAAGAAAATTTATAAAAACTCTAATATAAATTAGAAATGGAAAAACATAAGAAAATTTTGAATTTAAATCAAAAGATAAATTTTTGCTATAGATGAGAAAGTGTTTAGCTCCGATTTTAAATAACTACTTCTAACAGATTGGATTAGACTGAAGTCTTCTTCTCAGCTATGTTTGATTGTATTATTTCTATTATGCATACAAAATTTATCAATTTAATTCACCTGAGGACATATTTTTATCTTTAAGTTCAAATCCCTATTTATAATATGTATCTTCTATAGCTAAATAATTATTTCATGGCTTGATCAGTCACTATAAGGCGTTTTGATGCTAATTACACAAGTGTGAAGATACTGTTATATTATACCATGTCTGATATGAGTCATGAAGATAGAGTTTGGGTGCCAATTAAAGTGGTTGGTCCATTAAGTACTACAAGATTTTACACCAAATATTTTATAAAACCATCATACTTGGTTTTCTACTTATTATTCTCTTTATTGCTTTGATAAGAGTCGGGAACAAGTACTTCAAAATAAGGAAATGAGTACTTTCAAGACCTTTAGAAACACGGTAAGATGGAGAATCCATAGAACCTGCTTTCGGTCAGAAGAGGATATAAGCAATAAAGAATTGACTTAGACAAACTTGAGGTTGGGACCATTAATATTTTTATTTTATTTTGATTAGCATACATGCAAATATTCCTAATTTGACTCATCATTCTTTATTTTTTATACTTTACAGCCTCATATCCATCTAGACTAGAAAGAAAAGTACATTTTACACACTGAATTTCTTAACGAAGAGCTTATTCTATTTTTAGTGGCTGATATTCGAACGTCTAGTGCATCAATGCTTGACAGTTGGAACTGGATCGAAGGAGATTTTGTTTTGTGCCTTTAAGAGGAACTTTATTAATTTGTACTAACATATGATGTAGTAAAAATAGCCTTTTCAAATGGTACTAATAAATTTGTGAGAGTGGCCAAATTATCCAAGATAGTACTTTCTTATGAATGCTTTCCTCACTAGCTATTTTTCAATGGATACATATATTTTTTTACGACTTGACTGTATGAATATCCAGTGGATTTACCTGTTCATAAAATAATAGTATTTGCAAACTCCTTTATGTCTACTATATTTTTCAAGCAATATTTTCTTATAAAAATTATATTTAATATTCTCCGCGCAACGCGCGGGTACAGATACTAGTTATATAAAAAAGTAGGGTAAATGATAAAATAAAATTATTTAATAATAATAAAAGGTAAAATTGAGAGAAAAAGATAAGGTAACAACACGACCGCACCAAATCGATCGTTACATAAAGTGACACAGATTTAACGATACAAGATTATAAAATTTAAATAACAATCAAAATAAATATCTTATATAAAGTAATAATACAATACAATATAATGGGTAACAATCATACAAACAAGTTGTTATATACCGTAATAGTAAAATGTGACTTATAAAGTGCAATTACTATAACTCGTTCGAAATACAAATTATAAGTCGCATCGGTAAATGCGACCTATATGAAGGCGACTTCTACACATAAATTTTACAAATCGTAAGGGATTAGCGACTGAGAACAGAAAATGGAGAACTCAGCTCATAGATTGAGGCGAGAGAGGCTAGAGAGAGAGAGAGAGAGAGCAGAGCAGAGCGATGAGTGGAAAAGCATCGGCATTGTTCGCAGCTCGAAGAGTGGCGCAGAAGGATAGAGTTCGGATCCTCTATTGACTTTTCTTCTTTAATTTATGGAAAAAATTGCAAGTTGTGTCAAACTATCAAGGCAAGTGGACCCTAATCCTCGTGCTTTAATTTGATTTGTATGTCAATCAATTTCCTCATCTTTATTTCCCTTTAGCTTCCGCAATTCACTTGTCTTCTTGTCTTTTTAAAGTTGGCCAATGTATTCCTCAATGAGATGACATTGCAATAATGTGTATATTATACACCACATAAAAAGGGGAAAATTTTGGATAAGTTTTTCCTGAATAGAACAAAATTATTTAGAAGAAAGTAATTAAGTGTTCTCGATATATTAAACATTCTCTCATTCCAATTTCTGTGACATTATCTGTTGAAAAAAGAAGCTTTTATTTAGCCACACATATGTTTGAATTCTTGCAGTTGCCGTGAAGATTTGGGCAATAGAATGGCAATTGCTCTGTGAAGTTAATGCCAAGATACTTGTGGAATCTGTCAAGTCTAGAAGTTGAGAATTTTCAGCGTGATTGCTATGATAACAACAACAACAACATACCCAGTATATTCCCACATGTGGGGTCTGGATAGGGTAGTGTGTACGCAGACCTTAACCCTACCTAGTAAAGGTAGAGAGATTGTTTCCAATAGACCCTCGGTTCAGGGAGGAGAAGAAGAATAAGAAGAAGAGGGGAATAAAGAATAAGTAGTACCAAAATAGTAAGAACAGGAATATACAATAACTGAAACAAACTAAACAACATGATGTAATATAAATCTGAGAAATGGGAAAGTACATGCGTGTTACTAGTACTACTGGTAAGAAAGGGGGAAACTCTCAACTACTTACTAATCATCTACCCTAATCCTCGACCTCCACACCCTCAGCATGATTACTATGACATGGAATTGAATTTGATTCAGAAAAGCTTCTTAAAGAAATTTTAAAAGCAATATGGTTTGAAATTAGTAGGAGTATTATTTTTACATCCACTTATCTAATTAGAATACATTTAATTGAGGAGAAGGCGAAAATCCACCAAGAAGAAGTGAGAGAGAAACCTAGTATAGTTTTTCTTTTTATTGTTTCAAAAATTGCTAGTAGGTAGTCGAGAGTATTAGTGTTAGTATATTTTCAAAGAGAGACGTAGAAGTCAAAAAGAAATACTTTCAGTAACACTTATTCCAACAACACTGAAATGGATATCGTCGGAAGACTTGCAACAATTCAAGAATCAATTCAAGCCGTCGAAAACGAAAAAGAACAAAGGCAGCAAACCCTTTTGTTCTTTTCGTTTCGATTTCTTACTATCTTGTTGTTGTTACCGCTTGGTGCTATGGTTTTTTTTTTGTGAGCCGAAGGTCTGCGTACATATTACCCTCCCCAGACCCCACTTGTGGGATTGCACCGGGTTTGTTATTGTTGTTTCAAAAAGGAAATTTGAATTTTCTTTTTATCTGCTGGTTTATTAAGATTCTGCAATAGATAATGCATGCTATTGTTTAGGTTGTGGTCAGGGAAAAATTGGTGATATCTAAGCTTCACTAGAAAACAATAGGCTCCTGTTCACTTAGTTCTGAAGTCTAAACCATATGAAAGAGCATATATAAATGGAGTAAATTGGGCAACTACACAAATCAAGTTTCCAAATCCTTTTAAAGCAGCCAGTTTACAAGTGCATATTAACTGCATGGAGAAGCACATTTTCTTATTGATTCTTCTCTTTCTATGTCAATATTACTCCATTTTTATATCGGCTGCTTCCTCAAATGAAACAGACCAACAAGCTCTGCTAGCTTTCCAAAGTCTTGTTACAAGTCCTAGTCCTTTTCTGGCCAAGAACTGGACCAAGAATACTTCTTTTTGCTCTTGGTTTGGTGTCACTTGCAGTTCAAAAAGGCAAAGAGTTGTGGCCTTGACTCTTCCTAATTTGCAACTTCAAGGCACAATTTCCCCATCTTTGGCCAATTTGTCGTTTCTCAGAGAGCTCAATCTTAGGAACAACTTCTTCCATGGCAGCATACCTTATGACATTGGCCACTTGCCTCGCTTGCGAGTGATTGATATTCAAGACAATCAACTCCAAGGAAGTATTCCAACAAGTCTATTTCAACACCAAAAAGTTCAAACAATATCATTGGCTTTAAATAAACTCAGTGGTGAAATGTGGAAGGGGCCATGGTATGTACCAGAACTCAGAGTCTTAAATCTCTGGAACAATAGCTTCATAGGTATAATTCCTCCTTCTATTGGAAATTCTACAAAATTGATGAACTTAAGTTTGTCTGGGAATGGAATCAACGGCAACATTCCAAAGGAGATTGGTAATCTGAGCCAGCTTGCAGTGTTATCCTTGTTTGATAATCAATTAACAGGTTCCATTCCTGCAGCACTGTTTAATATCTCCTCATTAATTATCATATCTCTAGCAAGAAATAGCCTTTCTGGTCCTCTCTTGCTTGATGAAGGGAAGATTTTGTCAAATCTAGAGTTTTTAGGTGTATCTTACAACCAAATTTCTGGTCGCATTCCTTCCAACATTTGCCAACTTGCAGAGCTGAAAATTTTGTCCATATCTTTCAACAACATAAATGGAGAAATACCCAGAAATATTGGTTGTTTAGCCAATCTCGAGGAGTTCTATATTGGTTATAATCCAACAAGTGGGACTATTCCTGCATCATTGGGCAATATTTCGACTCTGCAAAATCTTAATGGTATGAACAATAGTCTACAGGGGCCAATTCCTCCAGAATTAGGGAAGCTATCCAATTTGAGGCAATTAAGCTTTGATCTAAATCATAATCTTATTGGTCAAATTCCAGATGCTATTTTCAATATATCTTCTTTGGAACTCGTTGGTTTCAGTTTCAACAACCTCTCGGGAAGAATTCCAGCCACTACAGGTCGTCGTCTTCCAAACCTTAGAGGAATTTACTTGTCATACAATCAGCTTGAAGGGGAAATTCCTCCGTATATCACAAATGCTTCCAAGCTTAACGCACTGGCGCTAGATATGAACCTTCTCACCGGCACTATTCCTACAAATTTGGGGAATCTTCGTGAGCTGCGAGGATTATTCCTATTTGGTAATCAACTTAACAATGAACCAAGTGAATATGAGCTACAATTCTTAAATTCATTGGTGTACTGTAGGATGTTGCGATCTCTAGCAGTGGGTTCCAATCTGTTGAATGGCATTCTGCCCAGTACTATTGGGAATCTTTCGTCTACTATTGAAATATTTCATATAGCAGATGCACACATCAATGGTCTCATCCCCAAAGGTATAGGCAACATGAGCGGACTAACGAAACTAAACTTTCAAGACAACAACTTGATTGGAAGTATTCCTTATGAGGTTGGTAGGCTTAAAAAACTCCAAGGGCTATTTTTAAGTAACAATAAATTACAGGGGCGTATTCTAGATGTAGTATGTGATTTATCTAATTTGGTTGTATTACATTTGCCTGAAAATGAGCTATCTGGGGTGATTCCAGAATGCATAGGAAATCTTAGCATGCTACAACAGCTTGATTTGGCGTCTAACAATTTTTTATCAAAGCTTCCTTTGAGCCTTTGGAAAATGAGTAGTCTTCTCACACTAAACATGTCACGAAGTTCCATACAAGGAGAAGTTCCACCAGATATTGGAGAACTGAAGGCCATTGTAGCAATAGATCTTTCTGGCAACCACTTTTCAGGCATGATACCAAGTAGAATAGGGGACCTCGAGAACATGCTGTATCTTTCCCTATCAAACAACTCCTTTTTGGGCTTAATTCCATTATCCTTTTCGAGCCTGATAAGCTTGGTATTCCTGGATTTGTCTTTAAATGCCTTGTCTGGTAGTATTCCTAAGTCATTGGAAAACCTATCACACCTTGCAAGTATCAATGTTTCATTTAATGATTTAGAAGGTGAAATACCCAGTGGTGGTGTGTTTGCAAATTCTACTTCACAATCTTTCCTAGGGAACAAAGGTCTATGTGGAATGCAAGTACTGGGGGTTTCTGCTTGCACAATCACTAATTCTGGACAACGATCAAGGTCTAAGAAGCTTGTGCTAAAAGTCGTTACTCCGGTGGTTATTTCATCTTTTATAATATTCTTGTTGGCTTCAATTTGGATAATGAAACGACAGAAGAAGAAAGGGAAGCCTAAAGATGTGGAAAAGGTACCGGAGATCAGGACTTATCAATTGGTTTCTTATCTCGAGATTCAACGAGCAACAAATAATTTTGATGGATCAAATTTAATTGGTGTGGGAAGTTCTGGTTCTGTGTACAAAGGCACATTATCTAGTGGAATTGTGGTGGCAATAAAGGTTCTGGATTTACAAAATGAGGAAGCATGCAAAAGGTTTGATACTGAATGTGAAGTGATGAGAAATGTTCGGCACAAAAATCTTGTCCCGGTGATTACTACTTGTTCTAGTGAATACATAAGAGCCTTTGTTCTGCAATATATGTCCAACGGAAGTCTTGATAATTGGTTGTACAAAGAAGATCACCACTTGAACCTTCATCAAAGAGTCACCATAATGCTTGATGTGGCTTTGGCAGTTGAATACCTACATCACGGTCATCACACCCCCATAGTACATTGTGACCTAAAGCCAGCCAACGTTCTTTTGGATGACGAAATGGTGGCATATGTTAGTGATTTTGGCATCTCCAAAATTTTGGCTGTAAGCAAGTCCATGGCTCATACCGAGACATTAGGCACTCTTGGTTATATTGCACCAGGTATACTAGTCTCGTTCTTTGATTTTCTCTTATTAAAATTAAGCCCTTCGAATTCTAGAACTAAATAAACAGCAAGTTCTTGTTAGTACAGAACTATTGTTATATTTGGAATGATTTATTCTATTTATTTTCATTCTTTTAAGAATATGGCTCGGAGGGAATAGTGTCCACTAGTGGTGATGTTTACAGCTATGGAATCATGTTGATGGAGGTTCTGGCGAAAAGAAGGCCAACAGATGAAGAGGTATTCAATGAAAATCTTGGCTTAAGGGAGTGGATAAAACGAGCATTTTCAGGGACAATGATGGAAGTTGTGGATGCCAATCTTTTTCTTGAGGAAGAACAGGTCAATTCTAAAAGTGAAATTTGCATAGCGTCCATGATACAATTGGCTTTGGACTGCACAAACGAAAGGCCAGAATCAAGGATAGCCATGAAAGATGTAGTCAAGAGGCTTCACAAAATCAAGAACACATTTTTGGCAACATAGAAGTTAGCATCTCTTAAGGTGGTGTGCTTTCTGAGCTGCAAGTTAATATGTTACTTTTTAGTTACCTGATATCTTTAATATAGTCGTCCGTACTACTTGGAGTCATGTACAGTTCTTAATTTTGAGTGTTGAATTCCCTCATGTTGTAAGTTTCATATTTGAGTGATTTTGAACCAGTTTTACCTCTTTTTAATAGTAATTGTGGTTTGAGTGCTTGAACCAGCATTAAATCAAGACATATTATGAAGGTGTTTAGCTGCTCTGTTTGGCTTTCTGTTTGCAAGCTTGGAAATATGTCTCCCACCTCTTATTGCCTCTAATTCTTATTTTTGATATATTAGTTTATTCCTTTCTATTCAATAATTTAATAAACTTTTTGTTAGTGGAAAAAAATAGTATTTGTGCATTATCTTTTGGGAAGGAATATTTAAATTCTCACATCCAAGTAATCAAGAAATCCCTTCAGCACTTGAGAACAAGGAGTTACTGTCCCAACAATATGAAGATGTTGCATTGGGAAACATATAAGATGAGTCCGGATACTCAAATTCAGAAAATAGAAACAATAATGCTTGATTCTTTGGGACATATAGAGGAACATCAGTTAGACCCAGATAGAACTTAAACTCAAATTTTTAATTGATCACCCTGTTTTTTCAGTATTTTATCAGTTTTCCATTGGGAAAGGTATTGATTATCCATTGTTTATATGCTGGTTAGGTGAATAAGGCATATTATATGAGTAAAATTGATAACTTAAATTTGGAATTTATTAACTGCAAATAGTCAAGTCAAGAGGTCGAGATATTCCACATCTATAATGTGTTGTATTTAAATTTGGAAAAACTTCTGAAAAGCATTTTTTAAATAGCCAATCCAAGGTTGTGGATACAAGCATATGCGTGAGTAATATGATAATAGCTTGCTTATACTAATTGTATTTAGTTTAATTTTAGTTCCTTCTAGTACGAGATAACACCTTATCTTCTGTTTTGTGGAAATAATCTAAGTTGAGTCAGCTGTTAATCAACTTTCTCATTCTGACCGTAAGTTAATTACTATCATTTGTATATGCTATTTATCCACTATCCTTTTCCATTCCTTACTTTCTTTCTTATTTTTTTCATTCTTGGTGCTCTATATAATGGAGTAAGTTAACTTTGGAAACCAAACAAATCTGTTTCCAAGTGCATATGGAGAAGCACATTTTCTTATTGATTCTTCTCTTTCTAGTTCAATACTACTCAGTTTTTATATCAGCTGCTCCTTCAAATGAGACAGACCAAGAAGCTCTTTTAGCTTTCCAAAATCTTGTTACAAGTCCAAGTCTCTTCCTGGCCAAGAACTGGACTAGCAATACTTCTTTTTGCTCGTGGTTCGGTGTCACGTGCAGTTCAAGAAGGCAAAGGGTTGTAGCCTTGACCCTTCCTAATTTGAAACTTCAAGGCACAATTTCTCCATCTTTGGCTAATTTGTCCTTTCTCAGAGAGCTCAATCTTGGGAACAACTTCTTCCATGGTGGCATTCCTTATGGCCTTGGCAACTTACCTCGCTTGCGAGTGATTGATATTCAAAACAATCAGCTCCAAGGAAGTATTCCAAGAAATCTTTTCCAACACCAGAGAGTTGAAAAAGTTTCTTTGGCTTTCAATGAACTCAATGGTGAAATGTGGAATGGGCCATGGTATGTACCAGAACTCAAAGTCTTGGATCTCATGAACAATAGCCTCACGGGTATGATCCCTCCTACTGTTGGAAACGCCACAAAATTGATGAACCTCAGTTTGTCTGGGAATAAAATCAGCGGCAACATTCCAAAGGAGATTGGTAATCTGAGCCAACTTGCAGTGTTGTCCTTGTACGATAATCAGTTAACAGGTTCCATTCCTGCAACAATGTTTAAAATCTCGTCGCTAATTGCAGCAGCTCTGGGAATCAATAGGCTTTCTGGTCCTCTCTTGCTTGATGAAGGGAATAGTTTGTCAAATCTGGAGGAGTTAAGTATATCTTACAATCTGATTTCCGGTTATATTCCTTCCAACATTTGTCAGCTCACAGAGCTCAGAATTTTGTCCATATCTTTCAACAACATAGCTGGAGAAATACCCAGAAATATTGGATGTTTAGCCAAGCTTGAGATGTTCTTTATTGGATTTAATAAAATAAATGGTGTTATTCCTACTTCATTGGGAAATATTACCGCTCTGCAATATCTTAGTTGTCCAAACAATCACATGGAGGGGCTAATTCCTCCAGAGTTAGGGAAACTATCAAACTTGAGGCTGTTATATTTTCAGGAAAATTATAATCTTACTGGCGAAATCCCAGAGGCTATTTTCAACATATCTTCTTTGGAGACTATTTTTTTCAGTTTCAACAAACTCTCGGGGAGAATTCCAGCCACTACAGGTCTTCATCTTCCGAACCTTCAAGAACTTTTCTTGGCACAAAATCAGCTCGAAGGGGAAATTCCTCCGTACATCACAAATGCTTCCAAGCTTGAGACATTAGAACTATCCGGGAACTATCTCAGAGGCAGTATTCCTACTAATTTGGGAAATTTTCGTGGGTTGAAAAATCTGCTGCTGTGGGGTAATCAACTTGTCAATGAACCAGGTGAACATGAGTTGCGATTCTTCAATTCTTTGGTGGACTGCAGAATGTTGCGATATCTATACGTCGGTTCCAATCCATTGAATGGTGTTCTGCCTGATGCTATTGGAAATCTTTCATCTACTATAGAAAATTTTCATATGTCAGATGCACACATCAACGGCCTCATTCCCACAGGTATAGGCAACATAAGCGGTCTATTAGGCCTAGACTTTGAAGAAAACAACTTGACGGGAAGTATTCCTTCTGAGGTTAGTAAGCTTACACAGCTCCAAGGGTTATTTCTCACTAAAAATAAATTACAAGGGCATATCGTAGAGGCAGTATGTCATTTATCTAATTTGGTTCGATTAACTCTGAATGATAATGAGCTCTTTGGGTTAATTCCAGAATGTATAGGGAATCTTAGCATGCTACAACAACTTTATGTGGATTCTAACAACTTTTCATCAAAGCTTCCTTTGAGCATTTGGAAGATGAGTAGACTTCTCTATCTAAACATATCAGAAAATTCTATAGAGGGAGAAGTTCCACCTGACATTGGAGAACTGAAAGCCATTGTAGAACTAGATTTTTCTAGTAACCACTTTTGGGGCATGATACCAAGCGAATGTGGAGAGCTCCAAAACTTGAAGTCTCTTAACCTATCGAACAATTCATTTTCAGGCCCAATTCCATTATCCTTTGCCAACTTGATAGGCTTGGAATTTTTGGATTTGTCTTTTAATGCCTTGTCAGGCACTATTCCTAAATCATTGGAAAAACTATCACACCTTATAAGTATCAATGTTTCATTCAATGATTTAGAAGGTGAAATACCCAGTGGTGGCGTATTTGCAAATTTCACTTCGCAATCTTTCCTAGGGAACAGTGGTCTATGTGGAATGCAAGTACTGGGGGTTCCTGCTTGCCCTATCACTAATTCTGGACGACAATCAAACTCTAAGAAGCTTCTGCTAAAAGTCGTTATTCCAGTGGTTATTTCATCTTTTCTAATGTTCCTGTTGGCTTCAATTTGGATAGGGAAACGACAGAAGAAAGGGAAGTCTAAAGATGTCGAAAAGGTACCGGAGATCAAAACTCATCAATTAGTTTCCTATCACGAGATTCAGCGAGCAACAAATAATTTTGATGGATCAAATTTAATTGGTGTGGGAAGTTCTGGTTCTGTGTACAAAGGGACATTATCCAGTGGAATTGTGGTGGCAATGAAGGTTCTGGATTTACAAAATGAGGAAGCATGCAAAAGGTTTGATACTGAATGTGAAGTAGTGAGAAATGTTCGGCACAGAAATCTCGTCACGGTTATCACTACTTGCTCTAGCGAACACATAAGAGCCTTCGTTCTGCAATATATGTCCAATGGAAGTCTTGATAATTGGTTGTACAGAGAAGAATGCCACTTGAACCTTCTTCAAAGAGTCACCATAATGCTTGATGTGGCAGTGGCAATTGAATATCTACATCATTTTCATGACACTCCGATAGTTCATTGCGACATAAAGCCAGCCAATGTTCTTTTGGATGAAGATATGGTGGCTCATGTTGGTGATTTTGGCATCTCTAAAATTTTAGCGGTAAGCAAATCCATGGCACACACCGAGACATTGGGCACTCTTGGTTACATTGCACCAGGTATACTTGTCTCTTTCTTTTCTCACTTATCATAAATCCTTTCTCTTTGACTTAGTCTTATCAAAATTAAGTACTTCCGGATTCTCTAAATAAATAAAAAGCAAGTACTTGTTACTACATAATTATTGTTATATCGGATGAGTAATTCTTTTTCATTTTCGTTCTTTTAAGAATATGGCTCGGAGGGAATAGTGTCCACTAGCGGTGATGTTTACAGCTATGGAATCATGTTGATGGAGGTTCTGGCAAAAAGAAGGCCAACAGATGAAGAGATATTTAATGAAAATCTTGGCTTAAGGGAGTGGATAAAACGAGCATTTTCAGGGACAATGATGGAAGCTGTGGATGCCAATCTTTTTCTTGAGGAAGAACAGGTCAATTCTAAAAGTGAAATTTGCATAGCGTCCATGATACAATTGGCTTTGGACTGCACAAACGAAAGGCCAGAATCAAGGATAGCCATGAAAGATGTAGTCAAGAGGCTTCACAAAATCAAGAACACATTTTTGGCAACATAGAAGTTAGCATCTCTTAAGGTGGTGTGCTTTCTGAGCTGCAAGTTAATATGCTGCTTTTTGTTTACCTGATTTCTTTAATATTTCTGAGCCGAGGGTCTATTGGGAACTACATCTCTACCTTCACTAGGTAGGGTAAGGCCTGCGTACACACTAACCTTCCCAGACCCTACTTGTGGAAATATACTGTGATTGTTGTTGTTGATTTCTTTAATATAGTCGTCCGTACTACTTTGGTGTCATGTACTGTTTGTACTTTTGAGTGTTGAATTCCCTCATGTTGTAAATTTCATATTTGAGTGGTTTTGAACCAGTTTTACCTCTTTTTAATAGTAATTATGGTTTGAATGCTTGAACCAGCATTAAATCGAGAAATATTATGAAGGTGTTTAGCTGCTCTGTTTGGCTTTCTGCTTGCAAGCTTGGAAATATCTTTTCCACCTCTTATCGCCTCTAATACTTATTTTTGATTCATTAGTTTATTCCTTTTTCCTCTCTAACCCTCCGGGTAGGGGTAAGGTCTGCGTTCATTCTACCCTCCCCAGACCCCACTGGTGGGATTATTTTAGGGTTGTTGTTGTTGCTGTAGTTTATTCCTTTTCATTCAATAATTTAATAACCTTTTTTTAACTCAATGTGTTAGCGGAAAAAATAATATTTGTGCATTATTTTTTGGGAGGGAATATTTAAATTCTCACATCAAAGTAATCAAGAAACCCCTTCAGCATGATTCTTTCTATAGGTAGAACTACTGTGAGTGGTCTAAACTTCCACCCTTATTTCTTTCTTCATATTGTAATGGGGAGCAAAGCCCGTTTTTTGCTCCCTCTATTGATATAAAAAAGGCACTTCTGCCGTCGTTTTAGTGACTCATAGGGCTTTCCTCTAGCTCAGTTTTTTTGGTTCTTGAGAATGGTCGCCATTTTTCCCAGGACCCCAATTATAGGATCTAATCCTCCACGGAAGTAAGAAATTTCGCATATTTTGATCAATTCAAGGTGAAAAATGGGGTTGCTCCTCGACAACAAGGAGTTACTGTCCCAACAATATGAAGATGTTGCATTGGGGAACATATAAGATGAGTCAGGATACTCAAATTTAGAGAGAAAAAAACAATAGTGCTTGATTCTTTAGGCAGTCACTTTAGCCGCAGAAGTGGAAATGCACTTAGAAAGGACATATAGAGGAACATCAGTTAGACCCAGTGATTCAATATTTTATTCACGTCTGTGCATAGAACTTAAACTCAAATTTTTAATCGATCACCCTATTTTTTAGTATTTTATCAGTTTTCCATTTGGAAAGTTAGGAGGAGGGATAGGTGTGAGGATGTTGCTATATTCCTAAGTTCAGGACAAAAATCTCAACAATCTTCTATTCTCCGTATTATAAATATTATGACAATTCAGATATACAAAGATTTTGGCCTGAGGCAGTGGATAAGACGAGCATTTCCCAGGACAATGATGGAAGTTGTGGATATCAATCTTTTTCAAGAGGAAGAACAGGCCAATTTCCAAAAGAAAAAGAACTTCGGTGCGCTAAGTTCCCGCTATGCGCGGGGCCCGGAGAAGGATTGTATCACAAGGGTCTATTGTACGCGGCATTATCCAGCATTTCTGCAAGAGACTGTTTCCACGGCTTGAACCCGTGACCTCCTAGTCACATGACAACAACTTTACCAGTTAAGCTAAAACTCCCCCTCCCAGCAGAGCTGCAGCCTGCAAGTTAATTTGTTGCTTTTTCTAAACCAAGTTTCTTAATGAAGTTGTCCCTACTACTTGTCCAGTACTTACTGTGTGTACTTGAGATTGTTGTATTCTTTCATGTTGTAATTTCATATCTAAATGGATCTAGATTTTATATTTGACGGGTTTAACTTTAGTATCGTTTTACCATGAATCCACTACACTTTTGAAATTATAGGTTCAAAATTATATTCTTTTTGAAATTTTAGTAATTTTCATATATTTCGTGGGATTTGAGCTGTGAGTTCACTTGTAGCGGTGCATACAATAATTATTATAATATTGGAGTTTTTAAGCATGGGTGCACACACATATATTTAAGTAATTTTAAAGAAATATAACATTACTATACATGATTTAAGAAAAGAAGTATGAGTTCACGTGAACCCATACCCCCCTAAGCTACATACGCCCCAGCTGAGGGTCTTCGGAAATAGCCTCTCTACCTCCACGGGATAAGAATAAGGTATGCATACACACTATCCTCCTCATACCTCACTTGTAAGATTATATTGGGTATGTTATTCTTGCTGTTTTCATGTTGCAGAAGAAATGGTTCATTAGCTGAACAATAATGAAAGATAGAGACCACTTGACATAGGTTCTTTCGGTTCCGAATTTAGCACGACACCTTTGAATGTTGGAATTATTTATCCAAAGGAAGAGGGATCAATTTCCACTAAATACTTTTTTTTTCCTTTCTTTAGTGATGCATTATGTTCTAGAAAATTCTAGATCCGCCTCTGCAGTCTGCGCGACACCTTGATCTCCATATTTCCCAGGATGCTTCTGTAGTAAACTATATTGCCAGATGTTTCTGAAAGACCTCTCTGTTTTCATAGTTTACATGTGCTATAAATCTTGTAGTAAACTATTTGTGTATAAGCAAGTAATTTACCGCACATAATCGCACCAAATCACTTTGTTACTTAATTAACATAAAAAGATCAAACCTGAGAGCAAAGTGGTTGTGCTTATTGCATTCATCTTTTCCTTTACTCTTCAGTATTAGCTCCTTTTTGTTTCCTGAAAACAAAATTAATTAAAATCTTAATAGGTTCTGCTTGTATTTGAAATCCATGAGATCTAAGTGTAAACATTTGTTCAATGTCCCTTTTTAGTTTCCCATCCGGTGTCCGATATCCGCATTGGGGCCCGGCTAAATCCGGATTCGCGCCGAGAAGTTCCACATTGGGAGATAAACGCTCCCTAACAAAAGCGATTCTATAACCAAGGCTCGAACCCGAAACCTCTGGCTTTAAATTTTTATTTGAAGTTGATTGCCTGAACATAGCAGAGTAGTCCAGACACTCCAGTATATTATTGAGATCTTGAAATGGACTGAGTGGAGAAGAAAAAGGTTCGTGCCATGGGACCAAACAATGTGGCCTAATAGTTAATAGTCGATAAAGCTGGAATCAAGATCGTGGAAGACCATGATCCGGATCCTAACAAAGGAAAAAAAATTTAGTGATTTCTTTTCTTTTGCCTAAATATTAATAAATAAAATTACTTTATCTGCATTGGTCATATATCCATACTTGCAAGGGCGGAGGCAGAAGCATTAGCGGAACCCAATAGATTTTGTTCAAATAGTACATCTATTAAGAAATTCATTAAATATGTAAAAATATTAAATTTTAGAACTCAATCATTAATACTTGAAGTCATCGTTATTAAATGCAAAACTCATAAAGTTGAAATTCTGGCTCCGCCCACTTGAGTTTTTGAACTCAAATATTGATGTAGGTGCTAATTAGAATAACAAGTTTCTCTGCAACAAAATTTTATATGAATGTACTTTGTGTCTTGCTGTTCACATGGGCTATCAAACAGCCAAAATTTTGAATATATCATTCTCACTTGTAGTTAATTTTTAAAATGCTATCCAGCACAAAGCTGAGCTGGATTGAGCTGCAAACAAAGTACAAATAATTGGAAGGATCCAAGAAATTTTTTTCAGTAGTAATTGGAGAATTATTGAAAACATCTAAGAACACCAACATCACCTAAATATCTATTCTAAGAGATCGATCTAAACCAAAAACACTTAACCCATCTTAATTACATTAAAACGGATTATTCCCTATGATTAAACTAAGCATTTCTTCANATATATATATATTCGACTATTATTTTGAAAGCGGCTATACAGTATTATTTTCCCAAAAGAAAAAGGAGAAATACTGTAGCTAAACATGCATCGAGTTGAATATTATAGTCGATAAGAATTTTTAAGCTATAAGTGTTACTAAATAGTCGTAATAGTTTAATTATATTCCCTTATTGCCATCAGAAATTATATAGAGAGAATTGTTTGTTATTGTCGTTAGACTTGGTTGTCTAAATCTTTTACACCATCAACGCATAAACTTAAAGTTGATGTTTTCATTTTTTAAGTTGCCCACCTTCATATATGTGGTATTTGAGAAGGAATCAACCTGCTGCAAAGTATGGATTAAAACCTAGACCCACTTGACATTTAGAACTTAGGTACGCGAACTAAATTATCGTGGGATTATAATTCTTGTATTAATTTATATCACTTGAAATATGGAATAAAATAATCCCACATTTGATGGCATAAGATGTAGATTAAATTTATACCTTGTTTGGTTGGAGGTATAAATTTATCAATAAATTTATACCTCCAACCAAACAAGGTATAAATTTAATCCCACGTTTTATCCTACATCCTACCTAATGCCTCATACCAAACGACCCCTCAAAGAATTAATCAGTGCCAATTCTTTTCTTTTTTTACATTGTGTCAACCCATTCAATGCCCTTTTGTAAGGGTCAAAGGACAGCTTTAGATAACTGCAACTCTGCAAGTCAACCAAGCACAAGTTCACATTCAAAGGCGCTCCAAAATTCTGTATTCCCACATATCTGCATATTGGAGAAGACATCAACGACCCAAACAACAAAACTGGTAGCCAATGAAGCACTTGGGGGTCGTTTGGCAGGATTTATCAGAATAGTGTTGAATAAGGTGTATTAATAATGCATGAATTAGCAATGCAAGCATTAGTTATGCAGAGATTATTTCTTATCCACTATTTGATGTAGTATATTAAAAATTAAAATAAATTGCATAATTTTTAAGAAAATTAATTGTTTACAAAAATGCCCTTCATATTCTTTAGCTTTAAGGGACTTTAAGAACAATTTTGTCTTAAACAATGCTGATGCATGCATTAATAGCCTTGGTATTTGCTAATACCGTGGTTTTAGCGTATCTATAGTCAATTGATTGAGCTTATTCCCCATATTAATGGAATTTAGATTTCTGGCCTGTCCAGCCCTAAAAGCCACAAGAAGGGCGATAGACAGGGTTAACCCTAGAGATGTGATGTATTCTGAAATTAGTCCTCTAAGAGAGAGTAGATGCGAAGGTTCGGATCGAAGATCTTCGCGAGACAGGCCTGAGGGGCGGTGAGCGAGGTAGGATAAAATGGTATTTGAACCAGGGCGGGGGCCCTATGTAGTCTTATACATAGGATAATACCAAATAGGTTGTATAACTAATACTTGCATTAGTAATACATAGATTGAAAAAGTGTACAAAACAGGAGATTAGTAATACCAAAAGCTAATGCATGCATTATTTTCTCTAATGCATTCTA